TTTTCACCGTTAAGGTAAATTTCTTACTATAGCTAGTAATTTACGTAAGTTGTTCTTGGGTGGAATCGAGTTTTGGACTATAAATTTTTGTTTTCCGCTGCGTTATCCAAGCCTCGTTTCCCAACAGTGGTATCGGAGCCGGCTTACGAAGTTACTAGTTTAGTAGTTTTTACCGTTATTGTTTTTGTAGATTAGTCAATAAATTTTGGAGACAAAAATTTATCCCATTAAAAATTTAATTAGGTGGCCATATTTAGATACTGGACCTAATATAATTTTGTTCAGTAATTTTCGGAATTACTGTTTGGGGTATTTTTATATTATTCTTATTAAGTAGTTTATGCATAGAATACTTGTTATTTGTGCCATAAATACTTAATATTTATGAAAATTAGATTTTATATTTTTTGGGAAGTATTTGACATGTCAATATAACTCAGAAATTTTAAAATCTATTTTTGGAATTAATTTCCTATTTTTCTATTTTTAAATTCGTTTATTGAATAGAAAATAGGAAAACTTCTTTTTTGACGATCACAAATTAATTTTAATTCATAATAAGTTGAGACCAGAGATTTTAAGCTTGTATAAAAAATTTCATAATTTTTAAACACGTAAAAGTATTTATTTTGTATTTTTGAAGTAATTGGATCGGTACTATTCACTAGTCCGATTTTTAATTATTTTAAATTTCAAAATTAATATTTTAAATTCAAGACAAATCATATTCTGGTTCGGGAACTTATTTTTGACTTGGAAAATAAATTTTGATATTTTTGGAATTTCGAAATATATTTTCACAATATAATTTCGGTTTTCTATCCTTGAAAAATGGTTTTCAAAATTTCAAATTTTATTCATTCTGGAATTTTAGGATTTCCAGATTAATAAAGTTTACTGGGAGTCTCCAACAATTATTTGCTAATTTATAAAACATATATATATTTAATTCGAAATAAAAGCCCTTTTTCGAATTTAAATATATATAAATACGGTAAATATAAAATATTTTATTTTCTGTAATTTAGAAAATCAAATTTCTAACATTCAGGAAATTTAAAGTATTTTATTATTTTTAATTAAATTACTTGCTAGTTTAATTAATTTATTGTTGATAGTTTATTCCGTAGAATAGAATAAACTAGGTCTGGGGCGAGCGCGGTTCGCCCGGTGTATGCTTTAATATGTATGATGTGATGCATGTGATGCTTGTATGTATTATTGCATGGTGGATGATTGTGGCTTAGTTATATTTGTTGTAATTTTAAAT